ATTGATTGATTGATTGATTGATTGATTGATTGATTGATTGATTGATTGATTGATTGATTGATTGATTGGACTTATATACTGCCCCATAGCGCTACAAGCACTCTCCCGGCGGTTTTACAATTTAATTATACAGGCTACACATTGCCCCCCCCCAGCAAGCTGGGTACTCATTTTACCGACCTCGGAAGGATAGAAGGCTGAGTCAACCTTGAGCCGGCTACCTGGGATTTGAACCCCAGGTCGTGAGCACAGTTAAGTCAATTCAGATTTATAGTGACCCTTTCCAGGATTTTCCAGATAACGAATACTTAGGAGTAGTTTACCATTCCCTTCTTCTGGAGCATCCTGGGACTATGCAGCTTGCCCAAGGCTACACAGGCTGGCTCTTATCCCAGAGGGCACAGCAGGTAATTTAAATCCCAACCTATGACTCTGTAACTAGATACCTAAACTATTGAGCTACCTAGCCAGCAAGGAAAATAATACTTCAATAATTTTCTTTGCCATCAAATCTAGTAGGTTTTCTAGAAAAAAAGGATTGCTAAAAATTACCTGATTTCCTCCCAGAAGTTGAAATTCCACCTGAAAGGACACTGACTGACAGTTTCCCGATAACCTATACTTATGTGCAATTTTAATTCCATCTGCAATGAATAGAAATTTGAAAAAATATATGATAATTAGAGACGTCAGTTCTTCCTTGTCTGTATCACAAAAATATCTGAAATACAGATGGGGTATTCAGGATCTGAAGGCTTTAGGAATGGACCTCAACACATCTGAGCATTCAGCCTGGAGGCACGCGATACAGCATGACCTCTCCCAATTTGAAGAGACCCTTTTTCGGCAGGCTGAGGCAGGCCCGAAACCAGAAAAATCAGGGAGCTGGAAGGGTACAGATTGTATTTGTCTTCAGTGTGGAAGGGATTGTCATTCTTAAATTGCCCTTCTCAGGCACACTAGACACTGTTCGAAGACCTCTATTCAGAGCACGTTACCATGGTCTCTTGAGACTGAAGGATGCCTATATTTGTATATGAATATCCCCGCATGGTTGGACTTAATGAGGGTCCGGCCCCATCCACTCATGCATCCGGCGGCCTCGCTTATCCTTCCAATCACTCCTGAAGCACCACTCTCTTCCCGCTTGGCTGGCCACTCAGCAGCCATGCAGGGAGACTCATCCACTCTCCCCCTGCCTGGAGTGGCTAGCCGAGCAGGAAGAGAGCGGGGCTCCAGGAGTGACTGGAAGGCTGACCGAGGCCGCCACCAGACGCATAGGTGGACAGGGCCAGACCCTTAAGTCAAGCTGTGCGTGGACATTTGTATTCATATACAAATATGAATACCCCCATCTCTAATCTGAAACCAGTAACACTAAAACATAACTAAACATAAGTAAACACTAAAAACAAGCAAATAATAACATTAAAAGCACTAACCTATCTAACAAAAAGCAAGTTGCTTATATACCACCCTATAGTCCTTAAAGCACTCTCTCGGTGATTTACAGTTTAATTATGCCGGCTACCTGGGATTGAACCTGGTCATGAGTAGTTTTGGCTGCGGTTTAACCACTGTACCATAAGACTTCAGAAGAGTCCTGTCCTTGCAACCAGAACACTAACGTAGTTCCGCAAGAACCTTTGCACCATTATATAAATAAATAATAAGCAAACTTTTAGAAAAATGCATTTAGTTCCAACGAGCCCATTTTAAGTTGAACACTATAGTTCACATGCTAGCCAAGAACCTGCTTAGGTTCATGTAAGGTATGCATAACTTGCAGTAGCCAACTACAGCAAACTATAGTTAAAGTGCCAGGATATGCCTTGCCTATATCCCTGTCACATGCCAGCCCGAACAACCAAGATGCACCCCAATAACTTATCAATTTGCTAAAATTAACCACTGAAAGTTACATAAACTGTGCATGAACATCAGTACGATTCTGGCTAATGAATGGAAAAACTAAATTGTGGAGGGGTGGCACCTTATCTAGAAAATAAGGTAGCATATTTTAAAAAATGATACAAAGTGATATACGAAAGCAGCTTCCAAAAATTAAGAATGATGCAGAGAGGGAACTTAACTGAGTTGTTCTATCAGAACAAAATAAACACCTATCAACTCCTAGAAATTTCATTATCTAGTAAAAGAGATTTCATGTTTTTGATAATGAAAGAGATTTCATTATCTAGTAAAAGATATTTCTTTTTTTATTTGTTACTAGATAATGAAAGAGATTTCATTATCTAGCAAAAAAATCAAAACCCACCATGCTCCTGTTCAACCCCTGATCAGAAGCATCTATGTTGCTTTTACAGTAACAGTAATTTAACATGCCATTCTAATCCTGAACTGTTCTTACTCTTCCCTGTGGTTCAATTCAACAAATCAGATTCATAAACTAAGATTTAAAGCTGTCAAATTTTGACAAACCATAGTTAAGATATCAAAGTTAAGAATAGACATCACAACAGTTAATGTAGAGTAAAAATAGTGGAAGGGCCTGGTGTGCTCTGGTTCATGGGGTCACAAAGAGTCAGACACGACTTAAAGACTAAACAACAACAACAAAAACAAAAGCTTACGAATTCATTCTATTCCACACAAGAAAAGAGAAGACCAATGTTAAAGACACCTTGCCTTCATAACTTTAAGCCATAAAGCTAACAAGGCCTGCATCTGTCTGACTACCAGAAACTGGGACAACCAATTTAAAAACGTTTCCCAATATGACTGATCTGAGAGTCTGTTAGGGCATCTACCCAATACTTTTTGGAAATCAATATGGTGGATGAGATAAAGCAAAACAATTACTGTATTTTTTTTAAAAAAAATGTAGTTCCTGCTATTGATAAATTCTTCCCCCTGTTACAACCAGGCAATGCAAGAGAAAATGTAATTATTGTCTAGATTCACCACCAAAACAAGCCAGAATACTGTAATAAACTGGTTTAAGCCAGTACATCAACGAAGGTGGGTGAATATGCCACTAGCAATCATACATGTTTATGACTAAAGGTCCATCTTCCAAAAAAATAAACAATATTTGTGTTCTATACAAAACAAATCTCATACAGAAGCAAGATTTTCTAGGCAAATAATGGCATAAACAACCAAAACACTTACTTTTCTCCACAGGTTGTCTGGAATAATATGTGAAGCAAATGCCTGTAAGTTTCATTATGAAAGCGAGATCAGATTCTAATAAATCAAGCTGAGCTTCCAAGTCTGGAAATGATTCATAGTGCTTAAGATCTTCCTGGAGGTTTCCTTTAAATGACTTCCTGCAACAGAAAACATGGCAAAATTATCCTCTACATCCCTTTGAAAGCACAAAGATTGGAATCAAAGTGTTTCATAATAGTGGTATTTTAAAAAATCAGGACTACTAGTGCTAAAGCCAAGTGCACAGGGGAAGGAAAGAACAAGTATCATGATTATTGATCATTATGACAGAATCTGATTCATATAAATAATGTTGCCATTCAGCTCCAAATTTACCAAATGCAATAATTTGTGTTATAATACCTGCTCAACTTCGTGAATGAGTACAACAGAAGTTGACAGCAATGACTTCACACATATGTACTGGCTTTAAAAACGGCAAAATATTGTGGTGCTTTAAAAGCTAACCAATCTATCTTAGTGGGAAGTCTCATGGGGAAAAATTACTTCTTTAAACCCGAGTACAAGTACTGCACTCTGCTCATGTATTTATGTGATGCTGAGAGTGAATACTGAGAAAACAAAGTGACAATGGTTCATTACCACAGGAATAGGACTATGTTAATTACATGAAGCTATAGACCAATTCAGAATGATAAGGTGCATACCAGTGGATTTGCCATAAGTTAATAGTTGTTTCTGGAGATGAAAGCAAAGTCTTTCAGGGCAGAAAACAATATTACAAAAAGCTAAGTTATTAATATATAGTCTGTGTTAAGAAAATTTGCTCTCTATTTTGGCCTTCAGAGATGCACCGGAACTTATTTATACAGCCAGTATCTCTGCTGTCTTCATGCATGTAAGGTAAAGGTAACGGTTCCCCTTGACAATTTGTCCAGTCGTGTCCGAATCTAGGGGGCAATGCTCATCTCCATTTCCAACCCATAGAGCTAGCATTTGTCTCAAGACAATCTTTCGTGGTCACAGGGCCAGTGCGACTAGACACGGAACACCGTTACCTTCCCACCATGGTGGTACCCATTTATCTACTCACATTTTTGCATTCTGCATGCTTTTGAACCGCTAGATTCGTGGGAGCTGGGACAAGCGACAGGGGCTCACTCCGTTGTGTGGATTCGATCTTACGACTACAAGTTTTCTGACCTTACAGCACAGAGGCTTCTGCGGTTTAACCCGCAGCGCCACCACGTCCCTGTAGTAGTATGCATGTAGTAAGGTATAAACTGAACTCACTTGTTCCCAGTAGTCTAAGGCAGTGGTCCCCAACCTTGGGCTTCCAGATGTTCTTGGATTACAACTCCCAGAAGCCTTCACCACCACCTCTGCTGGCCAGGATTTCTGGGAGCTGAAGTCCAAGAACATCTGGAGGCCCAAGGTTGAGGACCAGTGGTTTAAGGTAAGGAAAAGATTCAAGTCCTTGAAAAATTAGGTACAAGAAACACCAGTACAAACATATATATAGACTCTGAAATTGCATACATATCCATCCTTATCTCCCCATCAGAATAAGCCATTGAACCATGTTGACTACATTCGTATTCTTCTGCCAGCATCTTAATTTCTTCCTCCAAAGATCTGATTTCATCTTTATAAACTTGAATATGATTGTTATCCATTTCTCACATGCTTGAGTTCCTAGAAGAAGAAAAAACCACAGTAACAGCAATTAAGAAAAATATAATAATATTTCCCCAGTAAAGTAATAGTAACAACAACATTCTGTCAAATCAATTCCAACTTATAGCAACTCTTTGCAGGGTTTTCTACGTAGACAGCACTCAGAAGTGGTTTACTATATCCTTCTTCTAGGAGCATCCTGGGACAAAGACTGGTTCTTCTCCAGGGACAAATAGTGGGGCTATGGAAAGGTAACCATTTTTGTACTTTACTCTTTTTAGAAATAAAACAACACCTATTTGCTTTCTTGTCAGATATCTAGAAACTTAAATTGATTTTAAATGAGACTCCCTAGTAAACTCAACATATAAATTAATGCAGAGGAAGTGGATCACAGGCCAAGACACCTTCTAGGAAAGAAATGCCTGATTTTGAAAGAAACCTAAAACACAGATGAGCCATAAACACACTTCATCATGGAGAGGAGCGGTGATGAGGTAAGTTAATTAAATAAAAAAAAGGTCTAGGGTTTCTCCTCAATAAACAAATAATCAATAATGATTCAATTAAAGGGTTTTTGTTGCTGCTGTTGCTTTGAGAGCCCTGAGCCGGGCTGTTAATGACAGGACCTTCTTGAGGTCACTCTTTCAAAGGAACTTGAGGGTTGCACATCAGAAGGACCACAACAAAAAGTCTCTGCCACTTGCGGGGGTCGCCCACAAGAGGAGGACTCAGCGTGCCATCATCAGCACCCACGGAAATCCTCTCTTCCCCACCCACTCTCAGTGGATTTCATGAGGAAAAAGTCTGCCACCTCCCTTGGCCTGAAAAGCCCAATAAGCGGCCAGGGCGGGGGTTGTCTGTGTGAGGCAAAAGGAAAACTGTACATGCTCAGAGATATTCTTGTCAAAGCAGCTGGGACCTGGCGCTACCGAAAGAGTAACAACAACAACAACAACAATAATAGCAGCAGCAGCAGCCCCTCCTTTTCTTCAAAAAGAAAAAACAAACCAACCGACCCCGTCAGGCCCACCAAAGCGACTCGGTGCCGCTCGCCCTCTCTGAACGAACCGCCAAATTCAGTCCGTCTCGGACCCTACCATCACGTTGCACAGGCGGGGAGGAGAAGGCATAGAAATAGAGGAAGGGTAAGGCTCCTAAAAACCCAATACCGGATCCTTCGGCTTCCCTCTTAGTCCTTAGACTCCGTAGTTTCGCCTGTTTCCGAACAGAAAATCCTTCGCAGCGACGCAAAGGAGAACCACTGCGCCCTCCCTCTTTCCATCTCCCCCGTTTCCTATGCATCAGATAGTTCAGTCCAATAGTGTTCCGAATATACCTGACCGGCTAGGAAACAGTGGTCTCTGGTTGGGGTGTCGAGGAAAACAGGGGCAGAACATAAATTTCCGACTGAAAAAAAAAGGGAGGGAAGAGGAGCCGCGGATTGTATTTGCATTTTTCTTGCAGAATTTCGAAATAGCCAACGACTGGCAAACGATAGCAACAGCTCTATGGCTTCCGCTAAAACGTTGCTAAACAGTATTTGATTCTGTGTATTCTCGAAGGCTTTCACGGCCGGGATCTGATGGTTGTTGTGCTCGGGCTCTTTGGCCGTGTTCTGAAGGTTGTTCTTTCTAACGTTTCATCAGTCTCTGTGGCCGGCATCTTCAGAGGGTTGGAGTAAGAACCCTGTCGATGCTCTGTGTAGCTCCTACCTCCTGTCCTCTGAAGATCCCGGCCACAGAGACTGGCGAAACGTTAGGAAGAACAACCTTCAGAACACGGCCAGAGAGCCCGGAAAACCCACAACAACCTTTAGTATTTGATTCTATTAACCTCTGTACAAATAGCGGGCTCCCAGGGCTGCTTCCGAGGAGGGCACTTTTTCATTTCTCTCCACCCACCCCATCCCCCCAGGGCTACATTGGAAGGTGCTCAGTCGTCAGGCGGAACCCAAGCGTAGAGCCGAAGTGCTGCCGGACGGAAACACAAGCAAGGAACACCCCGCCCCTCCGCACGCGTGCCGCCGTGAGCACGCCGTGAGTCTTTGCCGGGCGGGGAGACTCCGAGGGAGAG